AATTCAGATTTTTTAGAACCATTGCTTTGTCATTTACTTTTTTGAATTATTCAATCATTAAAATTATACATGTGTATACATTTCACATAATTTATTTTGAACATTGTAGACTACCAATTTAATATAGTTAAATAGAACCTTTTGTACTTTTGTGTCAAATTATTTTATTGGTGATAAAATTTGATTTGCTTTTAAGTTCTTAAATACTTGTATTTTATTTAAAAACCAAAATAAACTGTTATAAACTATAGGCTATGAACAACCGTATTCATTGCTAAATGTTGTACAAGAGAAATTGGTCATGAATCTAATAACAAACATAATATTAATACATCATTGAGATATTGATCACGTTTCTTAGATGACTAACTTACCAACATAAAATTATTGTGTTTCTGTCTGTTGTCAATAATTCTTAGTTTCATTAATTTTCTGCCTGAATTTAAATAAATTTTACTCATTATTTTTTTTTTATTTGAAGTGCTTTTGACAATTAAAATAAGCTTAAACCCCTCTTTTTTTTTGTTTCAAAACTCAAAACTGCAAAATGGGGGTTATGGAATACCCCCCATTCCCCCCGGTGTTTGCCCCCTCCAAGGATTTGGTGAAATGACACCACTGACCAAAAGCCATTCAAACTATTGGGCAATAATAAACTATGCTTGCTAACAACATACCCAACATTAGATAAACACAAAAACTTTTAAGTAAAAACATCAGTACAAAATTAATTTACCTTTCTACCAATTCAATTTACAGTATTACTGTTCTTTGTTTAACTGTAAATGTTAACCAACTTTATGAGCTACATTTTTGCTTGTATTCAAAATTATCTGTGAAATTATCTAAGGAACCACATTAATTTATTTCTTGATTGCAAACACCATTGTTGTCAGCGGTTAACTTTTACTGATCAGACTGTTTAATTTGATTCCCAAGTTGTTGATGCAAACATATTGATCTCTCAAGGTTAGCTACATACCTCGGCAGATTCATAACTATTTGTAGATGTTACAAACAGGAAAATACCTGACATATGAGGAAAGATAAATGGAGTTAGAATTTGAGATTCAAATTCAAAAGGACTGTCTTAAAACTTTGAAAAAATGGTTGTCAAAATTTGAATTGTAGGTGCAATAGAATCATTGTATAGTTTTTGTATTGAGTTGAGTAACTGACCATAGATGATCCTGCAGTTTTAATTTGTCTGTAATAATTATGTTGAGTGTATTTTTATATTACAGTATAATAATAATTTACAAACCTCAGTTTTGGTCTTAATGCACAAAAAAGGACACTAAAGAAATATTTAACTGGAACAGAATATCTTTCTTCTGTTCATTTCAGTAATTCAATTTGTTAAAATGTATTATTTAATATATATGGTTCACAAAAAAGAAGGTGATTTAAGGTGATTGATATACAGGGTGTCCGGTGATAAGTGTTAAATAAAATTTTGCATTAAACTACATGGTAATGGTGACAGAATGTCGCAAATTTGAGGTTCCCAACTTCAACAGTTAGAGAATAGCAAATAAATTAAGATTTTTCAAAAATTATTGTAGTTGTTATGAAAAAGGTTATTTTACTCTGTTAAAAATGCACTTACCGTCAACTTCAATGACATTTTCAGAATCCTCACAAAATTTTAAATAAATATAACACATAATCGTTGGGGTACGTAAAAATATTCTATTTAAAATTCTTCGTTAAACAAATTATTTTTATATCGACGAAAATGTAAATAACATACAGCAATTTATTTCTCGGTTGTTGAGTTCCGGCGAGGTTATCAAATATGACTAAAAACTTCCTTATTTAAAGGGCTTTACAATGGTGTATAATAGTTTTTACCGAATTTCAAATTTCCTAATGTAATTCGATCATTATTGTGAAAAAACATGTTAGGGCAAAGAAAATCTATTGTGAAGAATAATACATTTAAGTGCAGGCAACAAATAATTTGTATTTCTTTCTCGCATGCAACGCTTTGTTTATAACTACCCAGCTAAGAAAAGAAACATAGTAGTAAAATGTGTTTGTGATAAAGTTACGGTTATCGTATAATTTTCATATAAGATTTAAGTTATCTCCCGGAATTTCTATCCAAGCGATAAGAAAACAAAGCGAACCAGTAGTCATATTTTAAAACGATCTATCAGTCACATGTGGACAGTGATCGTTCAACTATGTCTTTTTCGATTCGGGAGTATGTTGAAATGCATTTTATTTATGGTTTGTGTAACGGCAATGCGTCGGCTGCTCAGAGAGAGTACCAGGATCGGTATCCTGATCGCACCACCCCCAGTACTCAGGTGTTTACTAGAGTGCATCAACGTTTGCTGGAAACAGGATCGGTTGAGAAGAAGAAGAAAGAAGTAGGACCTGTGCATGATGTTGCAGCTGAAGAGGGTGTAATTCAGAGAGTTATGGATAATCCTACTACTAGTGTTAGGCAGCTTGCCCTTGAAACTAGTATGTCCCGGTGGAAAGTACATAAAGTGTTGAAGGACAATAACTTCCATCCGTATCATTTTACAAAGGTCCAAGGATTGGAGCCTCGTGACTTCGAATCCAGAAAGGAGTTCTGCCGCTGGCTTCTTCAACGTGATATTGTTGAATATCACTTCCTTAAAAAAATACTATGGACTGACGAATCCCGTTTTACCAGAGAAGGTGTGATAAATATTCACAATATGCATCTTTGGAATAATGAAAATCCAAAAGCCTCCAGAGAAGCTTCTTTTCAAAAAAGGTTTGGGATCAACGTGTGGGCAGGTGTGATTGGAGATCGGTTAATTGGTCCTCATATCTTCGAAGGAAATCTGAACGGTGATTTATATCTAGATTTTCTTCAGCACTCTCTACCTCAGTTGTTGGATGAAATTGATCCTCAACAAAGAGCTGAAATCATATTTCAGCAGGATGGTGCTCCACCACATTTTACTGAAAGCGTTCGGTTGTGGCTATCCCAAAACTACCCGACATGGATTGGACGTGGAGGAAGTGTGACATGGCCTCCTCGATCTCCAGACTTGAGCCCGTTAGATTTTTTTGTTTGGGGTTACATGAAAAGTCTAGTTTACTCAACTGTTGTAAACTCTGAAGTTGAGTTACGGGAGAGAATCTTTGAGGCTGCTGGGAAAGTAAGGGAAAAATTTACGTATTAGGTCACAGTTGGCGCAATCCGCAAAAGAGCTAGGGCCTGCTTGCGGGAAAACGGTGGGCACTTTACACCCAAACTGTGATTTGTGCTTCGGACAAAGTGTGTCATTGATTTGTTATGGGTTAACTATCATTTCATATTTAAATTGTAGTGTGTATTATGTTTTTTACTAATGTGTTGTGTTTTTTAATTACAAATTTTCCAAAGTCTTAAAAAAAACTCTTTAGTTTGATGGAAGTGTAGTCTGGTCAATCATAAATTATACATACCCTCATCATCAGTGGTCAGCTCATAAAATAGTAAGTAAAATTTTATTATTTTTTACAATATCTGTTTTGGCTTGACCGTGATTTTTCACAATAGTGCGTAAAATTCACCATGGATTTGACAGTAGGTAAATGTTGTTATACATCATTGTAAAGCCCTTTAAATAAGGAAGTTTTTAGTCATATTTGATAACCTCTCCGGAACTCAACAACCGAGAAATAAACTGCTGAATGTTATTTACATTTTCGTCGATATAAAAATAATTTGTTTAACGAAGAATTTTAAATAGAATATTTTTACGTACCCCAACGATTATGTGTTATATTTATTTAAAATTTTGTGAGGATTCTGAAAATGACATTGAAACTGACAGTAAGTGCATTTTTAACAGAGTAAAATAACCTTTTTCATAACAACTACAATAATTTTTGAAAAATCTTAATTTATTTGTTATTCTCTAACTGTTGAAGTTGGGAACCTCAAATTTGCGACATTCTGTCACCATTACCATGTAGTTTAATGCAAAATTTTATTTAACACTTATCACCGGACACCCTGTATATAAGGCAGGGAAAGTATATTTATATAATAATGATGGTTTGTCTTGGATAACGTATAAACTTACTTTTTGTATTTTCGTTTAATTTTAAGGTATTTTTTTTCAATTTTCATTTTCTTTATTCATTGAGAAGTATACATAATACAGCATTTGAATAGTGTCAAAGATTAAAATTATTAATTGATCATGAAAATCGTGTTAGCATGATAATTCCGTTAAACTAGATTATGCCATGAATAAATTATCTGAATGAAATGACTTTCAAACTGGATGTATTTTAAACTCTGAAACCATAATCTTTTGTCTCAATTTCTGTCCCAGATAACCGAAAAGGTTAAAGGGCTTGTCTCTTAAACTAGAAGTTTCCAGTTCAATCCTCATTACAGTCTGAATCACGTTTTTACAGCTCCAAATTGTTCCAGATGTCGTATAACTTAGTAACAAAGCTTTGATATCGTACATGCTTAAAACTACACTCATGGTGTGTTAATAATAATCAAGTCAAATAGTTTTTGGTGCTATAGAAATAATGTTGAAATTAAAATCAAAATTAAGGATGATGAATATAGCTATTTGTGTATGAGAGCGCAAAGTACGTCATTGCCGGACTAAGCTTAAGCTGAGTGCAGCTGTACATTTTGAGAGCGTCAATGACTGTGCTCGTAATACACACAAGATTTTTCCTACAACCTTAGTTGACTCATCCTAACAAACAGATTGACTTTTTAGTTGTATGTAAAATGTCATTTAGGTTGTTTGCATTTTTAGGTTCTGTCATTTGCTTCCGGATGTTGGTGTTTTATAGAAACACCAATTGTGAAATCAGCTGATTTAACGATCAGGAATGTTTATTTCCGCTCTACAGCAAAAATGAGCTATTTTGTATACCGTTTACAGGTTTGGCAATGTGATCATTTCAAGATAGTGTTAGGAAACATGATTGTATGTAACTGTGCTTTCATTGTATATAAATAAACAAGTTGATGACACCGCCTGTTGATTTTGCAGTCACTGTCCAAGCCAGCTCCATTCAGTGATGAACCCGAGGCAGTGTTTGAGCGGGAAAGATGCGACTACAGCCTCCGAATACATTACAAAACTGCTCAGTCCGGCAAAGGTAGGCTTCATTCTTTATTCATTTAGCACAAAAAACATATGTCGAATACACAAATACACTAATTTACAAGTGGGCTTAGCACACTCCAAATCCTTGCACCCTTGGGAACGTTTTTGTACCGTTCTAGGGTAACTTAAAGCTTTGGTTCTCAAGTCCTGAGTTCGAATCCCTCTAAACACCATTGGTTTTAGATACAAGGTAATGCCATGACTCTATAGGCCTGGTCTAAAGTAATATGTAAAACTGCTTTCAAAGGACCAAAATAAATATTCCGGTCACCAGGTTGAGAACATTTTTTTTATTGTGCTTCAATATAATAAAAATCCCGCTTTATCTTGTATGAATGAAAATAAATCATTTTTATATTAAATTAGGCCTACTGTATCTTTACTGCTGACGTACATGCTAAAAAACCTTTTACTTACGGCCGTTTTTTAAAGTAGCCATTTCAGTTCAGTTCTTAGAATTGAAAAGTTTCATATAACAGCTTTGTTTACTTTCATAACAGCATAGTTTTACTCATAACAACACGGGTAACGGACCAATGAAGTTCAAGGATTGAGAGAGAAGAAGTACAATTGTAATGATTCGAACTTCAACTAATCAGCTGTTTAGGCCAATTTATTTGTTGGGTGCAATTAGTGTTTGGTACAATGTTTCAATGCATCACTGTCAGTGGCAATGAGAGGTTATAAACAAAAGCATAACCTCTCTTAGAAGTTACGAAAGGTGGTTTTTAGTAATTAAAACACTGTAGTAGGTAGAGTAGTGTATGTAGCTCACGTAAATAGTGTTAACGACACTCGAAAAAGTTTTTAAACCAATCGCCAAGGCTTGCACCTTAAATTTTCTACTTGTGTCGTAAACACTATCTTTTATACAATTATTGTGTAAACTACTATTATAACCTAGCTATAATACTTTTGAAAAATCATTCAATTACTTGTTAGTTTTTTACTTGGAATTGGTAAAAATACTAAATAGAAAGTCAACCGTCAAAACTAAAAATATTTATTTAGTGCTTTTATTCCTCGCATGGTAACAAAATTCGGTTTTGGGGATAAAAATCCCCTTCAAAAAACACACTTTAAATTGTTTCGGGCCAGTGTAGCATCCTAGAATGTGAAGGAAGGTCATAAAAAAACTTTGTACCTTAAATAAGGAGAGAGTAATTACTAATCAATGCTCTCAAACTTTTCCTATTTAGAATAAAAAATCCAATCAACAAATCATTTTGAGATTCAAAATTAGATAAATCGTATACAGAAGTAACTGGGGTCTTGGAAATTTATCATATCTTGAATCATGAAAGCATTAGAGACAAAAATACTCTAAAAATTTACAAGTAAAATTTTAAAATGCCAAAGATAGTGTCAGTTAAATATTGTAGGGTGGATAAAACATTATTCAGTAACTTTTTGATTCTAATCTAAAATAAAGTCAACAAATATTAAGTGTATCTCTGGGTAGTAATTTAATTGTAAGTTTATTGATGGACAAATTACAATTTACACATCAAATCATAAAGGTTTTTGTTATTCAAAGTCAAAGTTTTAAGTTGAAAGATTTAACTCTCCTTTTCTGATGCCATATAAATCCTATTTAAGTTACAATCTGATGGCATTGATTTTAGTGGAACCAACCAAGGAAGTTCCTTACAAAAAGATGAAGTTCAAGGTCATTCACACAACAGGAAAACCTTCCTGTTCTTTTTGGTACTAAAACTTAAACCAATTAAATCTTCAATACTGCTAATATTTATATTGGATGTTCCCTAACAGTTTTTAACACCACTTGCTTAAAATATTATTCAATTTTAGATTTATATTTGTTTTATATTTAGCTCTAACGATTGACTTAACGATTTCATCATGGCAACAAGGGCTAGTTGACCTTGTGTTGTAGTTTTCCAAATGTCAATTGGTTAACCCCCATGAGATAACCAGAATCACATGAACAGCAGCTGTTATGAGAAAACTTAAATAACTTCTTGATCAGCATTGTACGTGTTATTAAATTTACGGAAAGTAAATAAAAGAAACATATATTTACGCTTATACTGTTAGGTACTCACAAGACAGTAAATATACATAAAAGATGATAGGTGGTGATTGATTTCGATTGGACACTACAATCATCATCGGACCCAATAGGCGAATGATGAGTAATTTTGATGAAATTTGGTTTGAAGGTGTAAGGCAGAATAAACTTGAATGAATATGTGAATGAGCATAACCGGACCTTGGGAAAAGGGTTTTTATGGGGTAAGAATTGGTTTATCTCATTTTTGACCCTCAAAACACAAAATTTCTCAATTTCTCTCTAGACCATTTTACAGAGCTTAAAAAAACAAATAATTTAGTATACCAAATTGTTTTTGTACTGTTATTGGTTACGGATAAAATTAAAAAAATTGCAAATTTAAAACTCCCATGTTATTCTTATGGAGAACATTGTAAAATGTTGTAGTTTGCTTGTTTATGGAAATATTATGATCAAACTGGCAATTTTTTTATACTAAGCTACTAATATTTTACTAAAAACACACTTTATTAGCCTCCCTGTAGCAGCAAACCTAGGTACTCGTTATACCTAATGTTAATTAAATATATTTAATTTAAAATCAATTCAGGCAAACGGAAATTCGCTTAGTCTGCAGGTTTGCTGCTGCGGGGGTATTTGACTTATTGTACATGTTTCCCTTACAGCAACTATATGGTTTTACGATGTCTTGTAATTTCTTTTGTGATTTTCTAGCTCTTCTCTTTCCGACTTCTTTTTTTTATCATCATTCATTCATTCATTCAATCATTCATTTTGTACAGTACTAGATTTTGTCACTCTTCCTTTACACATCCTTATTGATAGACATAACCTAGCCACTAAATATACCAATCATAGTTTTTAATGGGCAATTATCAATAATTTTACTTCAGTGTGACTACAATCATTAAATATTTCTGTAATGTTTTCAGCTCCCAGAAGGATACGAGTGTATGCCGACGGAATCTACGACCTCTTCCATCAAGGTCATGCGAGACAACTCATGCAAGCCAAGAATGTTTTTCCCAACGTCTACCTCATAGTTGGAGGTAAGTTTTGTAGAAGTCACTAAATTAATCCAACAGGGGATCTTAGCTTTGAGCAAACACAAACAAATCCTTGGTGACTAAAGAGAAATAAGGGTGATTTTCATTTCTAAGGGAGCGTTTCTCATCAAATTAGAGTCTTGGGGCATACAACATAACATTGGTATGTTTACATAGGGTAGGTATAGAACATCTTGAAAAAGTAGATTGCTGAAATATTAAACTGTAATCAGGCAATGCCTTAAAGCACTCCATTATCCAGACGTAATGGTCTATCACACTAACAACAATAAAGTCCAATGCAGCAATACTAAACTTGATTCCCAGGTTCAGCACAGTTTTTCTCCTATAGATTGTTGTAAGTGAAAGTCCTAACAACTAATAATAAGTTAATCTAATGCGATGATTATAAATCAATTGTTGGTAAATTTGTGACCATTACAATGTATTTTCTAAACATCCTAAGTAGGTACTCTGAAATTCGTGACATATGTTTTACTCTTTTGTGTTGACAGTGTGCAGTGATGCGCTTACTCACTCCCGTAAAGGCCGCACTGTTATGCAAGAGACTGAGCGATACGAAGCTGTCAGACATTGTAGATACGTCGACGAGATTGTGCGAGACGCCCCGTGGGAACTTAACGACGAGTTCCTAGAGAAACATAAGGTCAGTGTTGTTATTCGTTTGTGATTGGGTTCAATATTGTGATGGATAATTATTTTGATTTGAAGGTAAAGTAGATTAACTTCCTATCGCTTGTATGCTACACTATGTTTTGGGGGCTTGTTTTTAAGAGATCCTATATTTTCACCCTACATTTAGCTGCCTATATAGCTAAATGTAGGGTTAGGATTTACTATAGTCTCTTGAAAACAGGAGGACATTCCTTACCTCCTGAAAGATATAAAGATGATAAATGGGACTAGCAATAGGTAAAGTCCTATTTTATTATTTACCTTCAAACTGAAATTTTTATTCTTCTTCCATAAGTAACATTTAAATCTTGTATACAACATTTTAATTCATACATAGAACATAGTTGTTATTCTATTCAGTTCTGGAAACTCAAGTTTAAAGCTTGCTGATCATCAACAGCTAAACTTTAAGTCAAATTATGTTACGTGCAGTTTTGTTGAATGAATGCTAGATAATATTAATGTATTATTGTACAATCTGTTACATTATGTTCAACTTGCCTATAGTTTGAGTAAACTATATAGTTTCTGCATAATTAAAATGGATTGCACTTTTTTTGACATAAAAGGTGTCAAGAGAACAAGCACATTTTTACAATCAGTTGTTCCTTCTGGTTTTGATTATAAAAAATAGAGAAACAGAAAGAAAGGAAAATTTGACACCAACAACCTAGTTTAGCATACATTAAATGCATGAGAAATTACCTTTAGATAGGAAGGTCCTAGGTGTTAATCATCACAGAAAGTGTGCCATAGAGCTTTAAGTTTTGAACCTGTATTAAACTTGACGTTTTTGTCTCAACAGATAGACTTTGTAGCGCACGATGATGATCCATACCCATCTGCCGAAGGAGGTGACATCTATGCGTTCCTCAAAAAGAAAGGGATGTTCGTAGCGACAGAACGCACGGAAGGTGTGTCTACAAGTGACGTTGTTGCGAGGATCGTGAAAGACTACGACATCTACGTTCGTCGTAATCTAGCGCGGGGCTACTCAGCAAAAGAACTAAACGTGTCCTTTTTGAATGTGAGTATGAATTGGTTACTATTCTGCTTGTATAAATTAGTAATATTCTATAAATTTTACTTTCTCAAGTGTTAAGAGTGTCTTAAGAATAGGTTTTGGAAGAAGTCATCAAATCAGTGCCTTTAAAAACATTAAATTAATTGTTCAGCTATTGTGTCTTAAAACAAAACATTAAATTTTACTTATGGTGAATTAGTCTACTCGTATGAATTAAGAATTTGCTGAAACAAATCCGATAGAAATTTCAGTTAAACATATTTGTAAATCATAACTAAATAAAGAAATGGAAGATAAACTTACCTCTATACAACAAGTGTTAAGTTTTGAACCTATATAGGCGTACATCAAAATTTAGAATGGTTAAAAGTATTCTGTCAGTACCAGACCTCTTAGTAACATTATACTTGCTTACTTTATATAACTATCACATGTTCATCTTTATATACAAATTTGAACTTTTATGTTGTAATGTGTTTTTCATATATCATTACTGCTTTTTAAGAACTGAAGGTTAAAGATTCACTTAAATATACAGTAGACTCCCTCTTACCCGGATAACGGTTTTTCCAGTTAAACCGACGTCCACAAAAACTTGTTATGTAACCCAAATATTTGACTTAAATGTAGGAGAGCATTGTATTTAGACACATGATCACTGGTCTCAAATCTTTCCCACGAGAACATTCGTTTCAGTACCGCCCACTTCCTGCCGATCTAGTCCAGTTAAACCGATGTGCTGATAAAAATTGTCCGGTTAACCCATTGGGGAAGGAATTAATGGGCTACCTGCAGCACCCTCTGGCGGCAATTAATTTTACCGAATTTGTAAACTTTTACTCTAACTGCTATAGAAAGAAAACCTTAAGTAATAAATTAATAATTCTTTCACCATTTTGTTCACAGTAAAATTGTCTACAGAAAAGTGGTAATTGGATAGTCAAAGTTCTAAACTAAAAAAAATATATATATATAAAGATTATAAAAATAAAAATTTTAAAAACAATATTTTGAAAGTAAACTTGATATACAAATTCCAAGATTAATCCAGACACCAAATAACACTACTATTATAAAGTTCAATCGATTCCCTACGTATAAAAATCAAAAGTTGTGTACTTTTATAAGTAGTAACATTTTTTTAAAATTGTTTGTTTACCTTACCGCAGCTGATTTTTGGTGATATGTGGTTTCCATGGCAACACAAAATTGTTTGTTATTCGCTAAAATAAATGAGTAAATACGCAAATCAAGAAGCAAGATATTTATAAACATTATAATAGTAAGAAGAAACAAAAAGGGCGAAAAATAATAACCAAATTAAATTAATGGCGCTGCCTAGTGGTGACACGAGCGGCACTCGTAAGTCGGCCGCCGGGCCTGCAGCGGCCGTACGAGTAACGCTCGTAAGTCGGCGCCAATGGGTTAAAGAGATGTCATTTCCGCCAAATGTAGTCCGGTTAAACCGATGTCCGGTTAAAAGGTGTCCGGATAAGAGGGAGTCTACTGTAGGTAGGGAACTTAATATAGTTGAATGGGGTTTAGGTAATGATTGATAATATTAGCATGGTTATAGGCTGTGACCCTCGTAGCAACATAATGGCTCATCTAACCTAAGAAAAAGCAAATTTAAGCTTTGAATTTATTTTTAATTGCATAGTATTAAATCAAGTCATAATTGTGTCGACTTATTTTAAATGATTCTTACACTTGTTTCAGGAGAAGAAATTCCGGTTACAGAACAAAATGGAGGAGTTAAAAGACAAGAGCAAACGTGTGATAGAGAACATTGGGGAGAAGCGAGTGGATATGATTCAAAAGTGGGAGGAGAAATCTCGCGACCTCATAGACGCCTTTCTGTTGCTGTTTGGACGGGAGGGCCGCTTGGTTAGTATGTTGATCTAATGTTAGATAAGTTGTGGAACAACACTTTATTTCACATAGAGAATCTTTAACTCGTTCTCAATTAGGCTAATATTTAATACATCTATGTTAGTTATTTTTAAAGTGCCTCAAATCTCTTACAAAGATTCTGTGCAAAAAATATATAAATATTAAATTAGGTGAAACAAATAACCTAATTTAATCACAACATTTCCTTCCCCTTCCATATAGTTCAACCACTTCTCTTCCCTTGATAATTCACTCTAAATAAAGTGTGAATGAAAACTCTTTAAATATTTTCATGCAATACAATAATACAGTATTTTTATAAGCAATGATGTCAAACAAAATGCTACGTTCTCATTTCAGTTTTCTTAGTTAAAATATTCTTGGATGCTAAATATGGGGTTCCGGGTGTCTACCAGTTTTATAAAATAATCCTCAACTTGTTAGTAACTTTTGTTGCAAACAATTTTATGTGTCATTAACCTGTTTTAATAGGAACTATTTGTTTGAGTTAGAAACCATGACTTCATCACTGTTAGTTACTTGAATATATAAACACACTGTGCAATTGGTTTTTATTCTTAATAAATACATAAAGTCATGAAAAAAATTGCCATTCCACTGTTGCGCACATTTTAAGAAGATAAAACATAAATTTACTGTTTAAATTCACATGTGTATTAGTAACACTGAAAACAACACATTTCTGTTACCTTAATATATAAACAAGATATAGTAACAATAAATTCTTATTAAGAAAAGAATCCAACTGCTTCTACGCTAAATAAATATTTGATTTTATAACTTCTCATTCTGATAGATTATGTTCAATTCAATTCAAACAATTTTATTCATGCAATTTTTAAATTAAATACATAATCCCATGTGCCATGCAAAGCACAAGCGGGATGAAAAACACATATTTATTAATACATTTCATTTTCTGGCAGCAAACAGTTCATTTTTTTCTTCTTTGTCACTTTAACAGAACAGTGAGTAGACATTTCCTATTGCAACAGTTTTAATCATATAAATAACACTTATGTTATAAATAAACAAATTAGAATAATTTAATAAGAACACGGTTTTTAGAAAGACAATGTATGTATGTTTAGACGCACATCTGGAACGAAGGCAAAGGCAAGTTGATGCAGGCATTCTCACCGAACTCCAGTCCGGAGCGGGATAGTCCAGGTTCCAGCGGCGACGAAGGCACGAGGTGTGTTGCGTTAAATAAATGTTTCAAACAATTTATAGATAATGAAATTCTTCACTTGCCTAGTATATTGTATTTTTAGTGGTGGTTGCTGTGAATGTATCTTATTGCTGATCAACAGAATATTGTACAGATTCAATTGTTAGGTCTTGCATAAGCAACTATACTACTATATAAATATAGGTGAGTCGGTGGTGTACATAATCATCACGGACTTCAGGCCCAAGGCAGCGATGTCGTGGGTTCGGATCCTGGTCACTGCCGCAAACATTTTATCAGTACAGTTCACCTTTGTACTGTACCGTCTCACCCCTTACTTTACTGGATACGTTCCATGCACGGGCAGTTAGTCTTTCTGGACAGGCAAATGCAAAGTTAAAAGAGGCCGCCAACCTCTAAAAGAAAATTCTTTATCTAGTTATAAGATTAAAATTAGTTAAATTAGTATAAGTTAACCTTTCATATACGGAAAGTTTCTTGAATTTCAAACAATGAGAATTTTGTAACGAGTGGATTATGAAAGTGTAATGCTCTGTACTGTTCTTTTTTTACTTAGTAAATTAGTTCTGTAAAATACTTGATCTTGACTCTTATATACCAGGCAAGCTAGCTGATTCATATCCCTGTACATAATACTTCTACTCAGCCATTTGTCTTTTCCTTAATTGCTAATTTAACAGAAATAGATCTATTGTTGCTTCTACAACATACTGACAACCTGTTAGTAGGCCTACATAGGTACAAGACTAAAACAAACCTGATAGAATCTTCTTACAGTGCTGTCATTTTCCAGCTCCCCACCGCGCAAGTCACGCAGGTACGAGCTACCTAGCTCCACGACTACAAGGATCTCACCTCGACTCAGCGACGACTACTCGGACGACGAGGAAAGTCATATGGCCTCCAAATAAACGCGTCCCACAAATTGTCTAATAAAATTCTCATTAAAATGTTTTTCCAAATGTTAGTTATTTGTATCGGGATTCTTGTATATTTATTGTAGTGTTCGCATATTTATTCATCATGTCAGCCGCGCGAAGCTTGGCGCATAGTCGAGCACAGGTCGTATCAGTATTATTAGTTCAGTTACTCATTAGTCCTGTCGAGGACTCTTTACCAAATGTTCGGGCCTACATGAATTTGAATTTTGTTTAAAGATTTACTGAAATATTTTATGAGAAATTTGTTTAACTCACAGATTATGTTTATCCTCTGTGTTAAAAACACCTGTGTTTAAAATCTAATTTGTCATTCATTTGTCATTGAATTCACTTGTATATATTTTTACATTCAGACTAAATGGTTTTTACAATTGATCGAGAGTATATTTTGTGTGTGATTTTTACAATTTAAGACAACTGAAAAGATTTACATGATTTTGTAAGGGTAATTGTTGAAAACATGCTTAAATATTTGATAAGTCGGAAACATGTGTTTCATGTAAAAAAACCATAAAAACTGTGTTAAGACTACATGTAAATTTACTGATGTTATGCATGTAACTTTTGTAATATACAAGGTTGATATTGCGAATGTATATAAATTTATTTATAGTATACAAATATGGTTATAAAAAACTTAATTTTTGTCTCAATATTTTTTAATTATTTAATTATGTATAGGAGATAAAACTTCAGGATATTTATAATTGGCAAGGAACCCTTAGCCTATGTTTTTGGGGTTTTATTGAATTTGTTTTAATGGAAATTATTTATTAACCTAATTTTAAAAACTAGTCACCATTTGAACCTCAAACTTAACTGTTTGCATTTTACTTGTTAATGTTTTGTTAAGTTTTATCTTTTCAACCAATTCTTTGAATTGTTTTGTATTAATTTGTTAATAATTTTAAAATCAATTTCAGTAGAACGATAGTTCCTAAAGTTAACTGAATTGTTTACATTCCCTCGATCTTCTCCCTATTTTGTTTGTTGAAATACATTTGTCTGAATGATTTTGAATGTTTAGTCTTTTCCTTTCTTTTTTGTTCCACACATTTTGTTGATTTTTTTCTTTTAATGTTTGGAAATCGGAAATAATACTTTTCTTTGTTTTAATCAGGGTTTTAAAATACCAAAGCAATGCATAAAAACAAAAAAGTTGTAAATTGTAAAGGAGCAAGTAGGCCTAGACGTTGACTTGAAAATGATAAAAATCAAAATAAACATTTCAAGAATGTTCATAATTCATTGTAAAAATACTTAAAGATGTTGCCCCTTCGAAACAAAAAAAGTGTGTCTAATATTCACCTAGGCCTATATAATTTTAGTTGATGGGATTTTTATGAAGGGCCAAATTTAAAGACTGAAACATTTTTTAACTAAAAGAGATCCTCTACAAATCATAATATTTTATCAATAACTCATTATTTTGTGCTTATTGTAAAATGTCCTGCTTAGAAATGTTCAATTTGATATGAGTTTTATTCGTAGGTAACCTAACATCAAGAACTTTAGCTACTGAAAAAGGAAGTCTAGATTTGTGATATTAAGCCACACAAATCCATTTACATATTTAAATTTCTTTATTTAATCAATTTAGCCTACTTGATTTTTGAGATCTGTATATTCAGGACTTGTTTGAAAGAGAACTCACTGAAAGTGCGCTCTGTGACTTTTTCCCAATCGTTCTTGGGTTTTTCAAAAATTTTAAACTTAAATAACAAGTAGGCCTAGTAAACAGTGTAACTGTTAATTGTTTTTACTGTTTCGTTCTTTTACTCAGTTAATTGTAGTAGGTGAACTGTAAGAAAGGACAAGGTACTAAGTTTGCCTTTATAGAGAAGGATTAATAGGCCTATTTCATTTAATTTAGTAATAGTAAATTAGGGAGGGATGGAATGAAAAGATTTATCGGATAGGAAAGGCAATTGTTTTTACTAGATTTTCGTTCCGCTGACTCAAATTCCAAAAATAACTACGACAGTAGTCAGATACCCAATTTGAATTGTTAGGTATACAAAAAAAATTCTTTCTTACTTTCTACAACGTTGTAAGTAATATTGAGTGATGAGTAATACTTTTTTTGGTAATAGTTATATAAGTTTTCATAGTTATAACTTCTAAGAACAAAGCCTATAAGATAATTTGTTACACTTAAAGAAAAATAATACAAATAAGGCGCAAGTCAAGTGGTATATAATACAGTACTCTTTTTAGTAATGGAACTAAAACTCAATTTCACTATAGAAACCACACAACGTGAAAAAAAATTATGAAATATGATGAATCTCAACAAGGATTAAGAAACCTGAAAAATCTCAAAATTAATGAGGATTTAAATTTTTAAATTGTTTTGGTTCGCAGTAGTTATAATTACATTATATTTAATATTTTAGTTGATGATTTAAACGGGATACCTTGAAGCACATTTGTGAGGCTAGATAATCAATAGTTACATGTAAGAAGTGCTTGAATAAGATATTGTACGTAGAAATGCTCAAGACTAAAGTTAGCAAGAATAAGGTAGTCAGGCGTTTACTGTACAACTCATGTCAATGATTGCATTTGTTATATCTAGCAAAGTGAAACAAAGAAATAACAAAGTTAGAGTGCCTTCTTGTAGTGAAAAGGTTTAAGTAGAGTGTTTTTAAGTAGATGGAATTCGCCGACACCTACAGAAATATATTGTAGAATAGCGAAAATAAAAATAATAATCTTAAAGAGTTATTATTACAGGAAAAACCCAATTATGCAGTAAAAATTCATATTAACTTCCAAAGGACATCATGATGAAAATAAGATTCAGGCCATGATTAAATACGGCAGCAATTGATTTGATTTGAATCTAGAATTTTAAGTTTTATCTGTTAAGCCGCGTTTAGACAAGGCCATAGTAACCCGCCTGCTTACGCTTAAACACAGCTTTACTTCATTAAGTAAATAATAACATTTCGTAATTAAAAACCTTCAAGCAGTTCACTAATGTGTTTAAATCCTGCTTGCTAAAATAGACTTATTTTAGCCGTCTTCGTCTGCTGGCTAAGTTAGATGTTTATGTCTGATTGTGGAACACCCTATATTTGTCATGTCAAATAACCAAGAGTCTACTGTCTTAGCCCTTAGTGTAGTATATCAATGGCTCATTTATGGATTGCTTGAGTTAGAATCAACAACTACAAAACATACCACAAGTATTTAGATTAAAAGTTCCAAATCTTATTTTTAAATAACTGTGCTAAACCATAGATATTAATCCAGGGGTAAATTACAATTACCTAATAATCCTGCAGAAGTAACAAGAGCAAACATAAAACATCTATGTTTCCCTACAGCAAGGCACTCTGACTTCTGAAGACTGTTTATTTTTGCAATGATGTAAAATTAGGCTTACCACTGCAAATCGTTTGTTGAAGAGTTGGTATATCGTTGTTTGTGATGTTTTTGTAAGTAAAAGCTCAATACTGAAATTGAGTCATAATTTTCCTGGTACTTTAAATGTTTGCGAGGCAATTTTTCAGCAACAATCTTCTAAATGAGGGAGGTAAAGTTTCCATAAAGCCGGGTTTTCCTAGGCGCGGAGTCGGCGAGCGGAGAGAGGAACGCGGAGAGCGGAATTGAAATTAACAAGGCATTCCGCTCCGCTTCTAGGAAAACAGTAACATTAAATTGCCTAAGACAAGTGGAGTCCGCTCTCGGCGTTTCTCTCTCTGCTCGCCGATTCCGCGCCTAGGAAAACCCGGCTTAATGACACTTAATCTTAATAACTCCATAGTGGTTGTCAAACTGTGACAAATGTTTACTCTAAACACCTTGGCAGTATTTATGAAAAGTTGTAACATTTGTAGTCTCTAGATTTTGACTATACATAGGTTGAAAATACCTTTTGTACTGGTTAAGGAATCACGTTTTTAACAACTACAGTAGACTCCCTTTTATCCGGACGCCTTTTAACCGGACATCGGTTTAACCGGAATACACTCGGCGGAAATTATATCTCTTTAACCAGACAATTTTATCAGCACATCGGTTTAACCGGACTAGATTGGCAGGAAGTGGGCGGTACTGAAACAACCGTTCTCGTGGGCAAGATTTGAGACCAGTGATCACGTGTCTAAATACAATGCTCTCCTAAATTTAAGTCAAATACGCATAAAAACCATCCGTTTTTGGGGACGTCGGTTAAACCGGATAAACCGTTATCCAGACTGGCCTCGGTCCCGAGGAGTTTGGATAAGAGGGGGTCTACTGTACTAGTTTTGAACCTAAAGGTTTACTAGGTATTTTGAACCTTAAATTTTAAAAGATTTCTTTACATTAGCAACCATAGTTAGTAAAATATCACAACCATATTGGTCAGGTAAGGTATAAAGAAAGCCAGTTACAAAAATTAACACATATTTATATAACTATAGTTTATATACAATATACGTTTACAATTGATTTAGAAAAATTGCAGGGACTAATACAAATTTTAAAAATATTTACAAATAATGCCCTTGAAGGCTACCGAGCAATTTTCTTTTCTGCAGTCTTAGATGCTTTCTTACTACTGGGAACGTCTTCCTCAAACAGTTTGCTGACGACCAACCGACTTTTCCGTTTCGGGGCGAAGTAGAGATGTTCTAGTTGTTTGGTTTTCTCTTCAACTGCTTTGTTGTTGAAAAGCCGCAGCAAGCCCCAGTCTTGATCTGTTGAGTGTACTTCTTCTCCAGACTCTAACTCCCAGGCCGCGTTACGACAAGCGATCCTACACACGGTAGATTCAAATAGTTTTATAAAATAAATGCATAGGTTAAAAACAAGAAATCTAACATAAATTGACAAGGAGTACACTTTTAATATACAAGAGCACACTCAGAAGTTAATCAGACCATTACCACAGAGTAGTAACAGTAGCATACAGAGGAAACACCCAATAGTACACTTAAGTGGTGTCTTGGGCAAAGTCCATCACCCCGCCCCCCTCGTCCTCATGTTCTACAACGCTCTCCGTGAAGGAAGACCCTGTGAAATAGGAATTTCCGTACAGTGCTCGCCGCCGGGCTCTTCCTTGCTCGTCACAACTATGTGTCCAGCACAACATACTAGAGCTGAAAGTGCATGGTCATAAGTTTCCTCTGTATCTTACCTCTCTGGGCCCTAAATTTACTACGAGGTTTCTTAGTTTTTTTTTACTAGGCTCTAGTCCAGGATTGTTATTACATAGCTTAAGAACAGCCTAAGAAGGCCTAACAGGCTTAAGAAGGCCTAGAGGTTACACTTTTTTTGCCATTATCCCTTAGATAATCCATTGGTGGTTGGTGGGATTTGTAAACACGGGACAACAGGGACCGAAGCACCCCACTGGACCTGCTCGCTCCCTGGAGGGTTTTTACGGTAGGAACTATTGATGTGTCTCGCTCCCTGGAGGGTTTTTAAGGTAGGAACTATTGATGTGTCAGAACTGAATCTCAAATCCCAAGTATTGAAATAGAGGTTCGACTAGCTGGATTCAAGACTTAAATCTCCTTTAGTTAAAACAAATTTGCCCGCACTTCCATAACCGTTTGTTTAAGGCAGTCAATGTAATAGGAAGTATCTTGAAATTTTTTGTAGTGATGGTCAAAACCAGAAATTTCAAATCTCAAAACCGAAACCGAAACTTTAAAAAATCAAATCCCGAATCTCAAAACATAAACGCAAAACTTTTTTACTTAGCTGGCTACAAAGGTCAAGGTTACAAAAAAATACACATAATCATAAAATGTTAAGTATGCAATCAAAACTGAAAGATATCGACTCCTGACCGTGACATAACATAAATATGTGAATGTGACTGATAATCTTAAAACCCAATACAACATAACTTTTCATAAACAAAAACGACAAAAAAAAAAAAAAATTAAACTTCTAACACCAACATAAACATGAATAGGTATTAGATTAATTAGAACATTTAGTGGTCAATATATTTCTTTGTGTTTAGTAAAGTCGATGTGAAACTGAATTGTACCAGTTAAAGTATTTAAGATACCTTTTGAAGTTCAGAATAAAATTTAGTTGTTTCATTACTGTTAATGGTGATGTTTGCTCTGTTTCTACCAGCTTGTTTGGAAACAGCATTGAAAACAATAACAATGGCACAAAAAATGTCAGCAGTTTAAAAAATAAAACTGCCAAAATCTTCAATTTTGAAACTTTTGAATCTCGAAACTTGGTGATCGAATCTCGAAACCGAAACTTTTCGTAAGTTTTGATGGTTTTGAGATTTGGTTTTGACACATCACTAATTTTTTGTTTCTGTTTTTCAATGGGAATTTATAAATTCTGTTGGGATGGGACAGGATGTTTGTATAAATATTTAATGTCCATCTAAAAAAATACGGTGATTAAAAACAAACTAAAAAAGTATTTTTAAGGAATGTGTCTCTTAATCTACTTTGTGCAAATTCCAGTATACGACAAAATACCACTGATAAGTTTTCTGTTTTGTGATCTTTTGTGTTTCTATCAGTGCCTGGACTTACTCTCAGGTAAGCTAGCCAAACTCTCTTAAAAAAAAAAAAAAAAAAACACACACATTCAGTCACTTGGCTTTTCTGTTCTCTCAAAAACATTTGTAACTGAAAGATCAGTAGAGTGTTTACCTAAGTCTCTCCGTTTCTTCCAGAGAGACGTTCTGACTAACGTTGAGATGAGGTTCCAGAGGATTCACTATAAACATGGCCGAGTGGTCTCTCTTTCTCACCGGTGCACCTGGCCCTAGGGATATTCCTGCAACAGTACAAGAAGTCTAGCATTTCATACATTCAATGGTGTTTTTATCTAGCTGAAGGTGATAGTGAAAAGAATCATGCTACCTAATGTACCCATGATTAAGAAACAACCTTTTTAGGGCTCTGACATAAGTTTTAGTTAGGTAGAACATCATCAAAAACTAAACTCTTAGGCGTTAGTAAAATAAAATATCTTTATCTATGTTGTAGGCATGTCAATCCAGTATGTCTATAGGCCTAATTCGACGAAAAGTCTGGGAAATTAGATATTCTGTCACAACTAGACAGAATCATAAATTGTCACAAGAAACATTTAAACAAAAAGTGACATAAACTTTAAATACAAAATTTGGTAACATAGCACAATTGACATGCGTTCGGTTCAGTGCCTGGACTTATTCGTGTTATTTGGTCAGCCATACTATCAGGTGAAAAAATTTTGTATGTAATGTTTAAACGTCCCTTTACTAATGTGTTTCAATGTTTCTTGTATCAACATTTTTGACGATTTTATACGATCTTATGAGATTTTAAAATAGAAGAAATATGCTTAGAAACAATTAATACATTAACCGAGAGTACATTGCCATCGTCAAAACAAAAGGTACATAACCTATAATCCAGCTATTTTATAAATCCTGACCGGGCAAAAATGAACAAACTTATCCTTTATCATTTTACCGGTTCTAAAATAGAGCTTGACCACGTTTTTGAAACATTTTACGTAACACTGTACCTTGACTGCAAAAATCGAATCCTGCGTAGTATTCAAAGAAGCCCAGCAACAATTCCTCTATTGAAGAAGAGTTGTCGGATGGAGATATTTTTGACGGATCCCTTAGGAATGTGCAATTTACTCCATCCTCAGCGATTCTTCGATCAGCTTTTCCTGGTAAAGTTTATATTCTGTAGATTCAATAAAATATTCTGTGAACGTACTGTCAAATTGTTTTTAAATCTACCTTTCTAGAATCGGGGAAAAAATATAATAGGAGAATGGATTAAGATAATGAGTTTTAATAATACAAATATAAAAAAGGCCTTTATTTGCAAGCGAGTTTCATATTAAATGTTTTTTAAACTAACTCAAGTCACTAAATCTAAACTAGCCTAATTTATTTACAAAAGAATATTAAAAAAATGTCAACAGAATAAATTTACAATATAAATTTTATATTTGTTTTTTCCTTTTTTTCTTTCTTTTTTTCATTATTTTTACCCATATACTTGTTGTACAAAATTGTTTCACAATAGTTAAAAAGGGGGTTTTGTGGTTATTATTTTGTATTTTGCATGATCGTTATATTTAGGCACAAAATAAAGTCATGTGTTATTTACTGTACATAGACTCATAAGTTTTATAGCACATTTTCATTTGTTGGCACCGTTGACTTTTAAACTACTGTATTTACTAAGAAATCCATCTTAACTCAAAAACAACAAATCTGTCTTAAAAAAAAATCTAAATTTCTAAACATACCGGCAAGTTGTCGCAATTGATCCAGAGTAGGTAGAACTTTAGACCATTGCAGGTAGAAGATGACGAGGAGAGTTAGAGAGAAGTTGGAGACCCATCGCCCGGGTGACGGGTTCGTCAGTCCTACATCGGCAGCCCAGCGTCGCACGGTAAACACGAGTGGTCGCGTGCGACAGTCGCAACTGCCAAATAGATACAGCAGCTCTGACATGAACACTGCTGCCCTGTACAACAAGTAATTTTTACTTTATGATTTCTCCTCCTATACGGTGAAAGTACTGTTTTTGTCAACATTTTGGAGTTTAAGTTTTGGGTGAGAATAACTGTTTTGATACAACAACTTTGGTCCGATTCAGATAGAATTTATTTTTATGAAATTTATAAAAAAAATTTTGAAATAGCTCTTTTGCCAATTCTGACTGTCAAGCAACATCTAACACTTTTGTAGCTTGCATTCAACAATAAACTCACATGTTTGTCAACGTGAGGTCACAATCGATGTCAGTCAACTCCTGGCGAAACTTGACGATGGGGACCCGAGCCTGCAGGATGCGCCGGACATCCATACAGCCCGGCAGGAACCACTGCACCATGTCTGCCAACCCGTCGATGTGACGCTGCGTCTGCGACCGGACATTAAGGGACGGCTTGGCGTGGAACATCAGTCTGCACTGAGTGTCCTCCTACGATACAATTAGCAATTTGAGCAAACCAATATATTTTGCCCTTACAACTTGTTACCGTGAGTACTAAGATTTGTGTAGTATAACTATCTCACATTTTAAGAAATAATCTAAATGATTCCTGTAATAATTAGGCGAGTAAACCAGAGTCCCACGGCTAATACAGATGTTCAGCTAATCTGAACCACCTTTTGGAGAAAACATTACTGTATTTAAAACAAAGCTGTTATTCTAAAAAGCTAGCCAAGGTTTCCAGGTAATTGATTTTGCCTACCTGGATTTTTAATTGAACTGGGGAGTAATAGCCTATGGTCTTATGGCTGAGCTTCATTTTATTAATGGCACTCGTTTCGTGCACTTTTCAGGACATCGTGTAGTAAAAACGCTATTGTCGGATATATGATCACAGGTGTTGCCACAATTCCATTAGATAGTCAAAGATATGTCTGTAAATTTAACGTGTATCACATTGTTAAGGTGTTGCCACAATCAAAAGAAATTATCACAATTTGGCCATCGATAGTCATAAAAATACATAGTTTTTTTCAATAAATTTTGCAGCAATTTTAAATTTGAGCTTTAACTGAATTTTCCTCAAACAGCTGTTAATTTATTGGATACTACGCACCTCCTCTGAACGATTGTCCAGCTGCAGCACTAGGTCTAGGTCACAGCCCTGACGCCCGAAGCCATTGACAGATGAGCCGAACAGTCTGACTTGCGCGCGTGGGAACAACCCCGACACTGCTGCTTCCAGCTGATGCGCAGTCAAATATCGCAGTCTCACTCCTAGGTCGTCCAATCGTGTTGCTCCGTAAACCAATCTCACCTGATCACTCACCTGACACCATGGGAAAATAAGTTGAAAACTCAGAAAACAGTGGCTATTTAACGAACTGGTGATTTTGAAGTATGACCCCAAATGAGGAGAGGTAATGTATAAAATATTTACAGGAAATGTTGATTACTGTTATGTACATCGTGAGTATCTCCTTGAGTTACACACCGGTAATCTTTGAGTTGACTCTTTTAAACTCATTGTAAATATGACTGTTATTCAATTTGAAATAACTTCTATAATACTTTTACTTTACAATTGCTCGACTTCATATTTTAATTTAAGTTTTTTTAAAAGATGTAAGGGTGCACCCACAAGCAGTGAGACGTTAAAAGTACTTAAACTACTAGATGGTTAGAAATCCAATTTATGTGTTTGGTATTCTCAGAGCAGGAAATGAAGACACTTTCCGTGCAATAAAACTCATGAAAATTTACTCCAATAACACATTACAGTAGAACCGCGGTTAACCGAAATAAAGGGGGGAGAGCCGTTTCAGATAGCAAATTTTTCGGTTAACCATATGCTAAAAATAGCCCAAGTATTACCACGGTCTGAAGAAAAAATTAATTAAAAACAGTGTCTATATAATTTAGTGTTTTATTTCAGCTACAAAAATGTTACAATGTGTTAGGAAGCCCCTTTCTAGAAAGAGGGGCTCGGCGATACGCCTTGCTGTTTACATATATTAAATATTCTACCTTATATTTTAGCCCTGTATTAATTTATAGAACCGTTTCGGTTACCCCCGGTTTTGGTTTACCCGATTTCGGTTGAGAGGGGTTCTACTGTAATTGGAAACTAAATTAGGCCTAGAACAATTAGGAAAAACTCACTGTTTCTGATTCTCTCAGCCATTCAAGAAGCTGAGGGCGAGTCAAAGGTGGAGTTGCCATTATCAGTGGAACTGTCAGTTTGGAGTTGCTTTTTGACAATTTCTTCTTTTGGTTCGCTCGGAACCACAACATCCGAGAAGACACAGGAATAACTTGATTCCTTTCATTATATCCACATGCATTCAACACTCCTGGTATCACATCGTTGTCCTTGAACTCAACTAGGATAAAGTGCTGCAACAGTAGTAAATTGGAATAATATTTTCACACCAAAGTTGCTATTTTTACAGTATACGTTAGTTTTACGGTTGAGTTATGGTAACCTTTTTTTAATGTAATCACATTTTTTCTTGTTGCGTGAATGTAATTCTTAAATTGCAGATGACTGTCGATTATCCAACACTTAGGGGACAGGTGGGGTGTCAGATTCACGTAGTAGTGGGTCTACTAATTATACTTAGTCTACAAATCCAGTTATGGAGCCTTATCAGGTACACATCAGTAAATAGGTGTTCAAATTTATCAGCTCAGGCATCCATCTTACAAAAGAAAGCATTGTTTTTCATGAATACATAAATGATTTGACCATGTTTTTTACTCTTGCGTACAGCTAAGTTTATATCTCATAGGCATGACCTATCATTAAATACAAAATATATAACTACATTCAACAAATCCTACCAGTTTTACAAAAGTTAAAAGCTAAGTTAAGTCAGGTTACAAGCTGAGTAAGTAGATGTAAGTTTAGTTAAGCTCAGTTGACAAAATAATCAACCAAAGCACTAATCACTGCCATTCACTGTAATGAACACGGAGTTAAAATGTGTTGGAGAAGTAACCTTAACATTGTCAAAGCCAGTAGAAAGACTACATACCATAGACGGGTTGGACGCTGGCGTGTAGTGGTGCAGAGTTTTGATCTCTCCGAACTCTGAGCAATAGTCGTGCAACTGCCCGCATGACTGTTCTGAGTGCACTTGAACAACCACACTGCACTGTGCCTGCTGTCGCCGCCTGGCAACTTCACAATCAAATGGCTCTGCAATAAACTCATCAGAACTAGGCCTACCTGTAATAAAATTGCATACTTAAATTAACTTACTATTTTAACTTACTTACAACTAACAAACTTACTTAACAACTAACAAAACTTAACTTAACTTACTGCATGCTGCACGTGCATGTGTCATGACAATCTACAACAGAGTATATCGAGGAACACACTTTTCAACACCTTAGATAACAGGACTCACTTTGAGAACCGTTCCCCAAACGTATAAATCATGACGATTCCCCAATCACCCGATTGTGGAGAAGACTTTGCAGCAGTAAGAAGTAAGTGCACTTAAGTTTACCGTTTACGCCCCACATGTACTGATATAGGCTACAGCATGTTTGGTTAGGTTAGGTTGGTTTAGAACAATTTCATTTTATAATCAGCTGGTAGTTGTATAATGCATGTAGGTCCTAAACTCAAGTGTACCCCTACCATAATATCGATTGAAACTATATCAATTGAAAATGTTGATCAATAGGCTAAGCGACATTTTTAACTAGCGTAGGCTATATAAATTATAAAATGAAACTGTTATAACCTAACCTACTAAATTGGTGTGAACCTGGCAATAACTCGGCAATAAATAGTGCACGCGCCACAAAAAATATTGCTGGCCGTTTTGCGGAAAAATACGGCCACGAAACATATTACCGATCATGTAAACAGATAGAGGACACTTATGGGACATTATAGGTAATATGTTTCGTGGCTGTATTTTTCCACAAAACGGCCAGAAACAGATTTTTTGTGGCTCGTGCACTACTTATTGCCGAGTTATTGCCAGGTTCACACAAGTACCTACGAACCAAACTTGCTGATAATTAAAAAAACAGAATGAAGGTTTACTAATATAATCGATAAGTTAGTTTCAATTGATATTAGGGCAGCCCAGTTAAGAAACTGTACCCCCTTGGGGATAAGAAATAGGCTAGATAAACAAATAACAATAACTTAGCCTTGGTTTAACTTACCGGTTACCTCGGGATTACCTTTACTGCAAAGTAAAGAGCTTGAATGAAACTTAAATTCGCTAATATGCTGAATTTTTCCATTCCACTGAGCTGTTTGGAAAATCTTTTTACGGACAACATTTCTTAAAAGCATTACTACTACTACTAAAGAAAGAAGTAAGAAGAACCTAACCTCTTAAAACAGAAAACACAAAACATTGGTCAGCCAGCAGAAGAGAGAGAAATGTTACCACAAAAAAACATACCACTAGCTGAGCAATTGTGCCAACCAATATTTTTGGTGTTCTGGTTCTCAATAGCTTTATTAGATTAGAGTACCTGTGAGTAGTGAATAAAAAATAAATTCTTCAAAAACAATTCCAAGCATGAATAATAATTTAACATGGCAAAACTAATAAAAAATAATGATGATTATTGAACAAGTATAATGATCATACTGAAAACTATTTAAATTATTTTTATGGGCTTGGCAACTCTGAAAGCTTATCAGCTGTGCCTGTGATGTGATTGACAATGGATTTAAAAACTAATAACATCTTGTTGAAACCAGAAACTAAAATCAATATTTTTATTATGTTTTTTCCATCTTTGCATTGTGATTGTACAAGTTGTCGTCTATAATATGGTTGTATTATTATATTGAGATATTTTTTTTAATTTTCACAAAGATGGACTTGCAGTAAGTATTTGGCTTTTTTGCATAATATAACTTGATACACTGTTTTGCTTCTGCTTCAATCAACATTTCTAATGCAAAAATGCAATATAACTTAGGCCAGGCCTACAAGCTAAACATCAGGCTGCCTCATTAGAAAAAATATGACAACTTAAAACTTATAATAAAAATTAATACATTTCATAACCCTGCTACTCAGATCGCTCTGTTAAATCTCAGCTTTAAAATCATTGAAAATAACTTGCATTTTTGAACAGTTCAAATTTAAGAGAAATGGGTAATAAAAGGTGATTTTGCAGTGCATTAATTTTCCTTTGTGCCTATAGTTTTTTATTAACGTTAATAATATGAGGAATTAAAGCGGTACAGTAAGTTAACTTAGTTTGCACATGGTTCCTTTTAGCATTAACTAGTAGTAAGTAGACTCCCTATTATTCGGACACTTTTTAACCGGACGGCAGAAATGGCATTACTTTTAACCGAACAATTTTTATTCAGCACTTCGGTTTAACTAGACTGGATCGGCAGGAAAGTGGGCGGCACTGAAAAACTTCTTGTGGAAAAGATTTGAGACCAGTGATCACATGTCTGAAAACCATGCTCTCCCAAATTTAAATAAAATATTCGGGTTAAGTTAGTTTTCTATTGATTCCTGTGACGTGCACCTTGCATGGCGAATAATCCCTATCTTGCAAATGTTACCAATTGTAATGGTTGCTTGTTTGTTCGTTAAAGATTTGAAAGGTACGGTACAATAGCTTTGCCATCTGGTGTTTTTTTTGTGTTACCGGTACACTAATTATCTCAAAGTGTCTAAGTTTTACATAATAAGCTAACTAATCATAATTTGTGTATAGGCCTACAGTACAGTACATGCATTAGACGTTCCTATATCTATCAAGTTCTCACGGAACCAGTCCAGGGGGTCGGTTTAACTAGAAAATTGTTATCCTCGGTCCCAAGGATCCTGAATCAGAGAGAGTCTACCTACCGGTAGGCCTAGGCTACTGTTTCTATTATTTGGTGTATGTAATTTTGCGTACCAGCAAGATTGTAGCCTATCATGGGAAGTGAGTGTTACTTATGGGATTTTAAAATAGTTTTTTAAAAACTTTTATTTTTAAAATGTGAAAATGCTCAAATGCAGCCTAATTTCTTTTAATTGTGTAGGCCTAGAGCTTAAAAAAATAAATAATTTTCAAAAAAGCGTTGTTGTAAAAATAGGGGGTTACGGAGGAAATTCTAAAAAAAACTATAGGCCTCGATTTAAAATTCCCAAGTTATTCTTATGGAGAAAAGGTAAACTGTTGCAACCTCTCAAAGTTAACTTGTTTAGCCTAAAAAATATGGAATAAATCTGACATGTTAAAGCAAAAGGTTTATTTCACATCCAATAACCGACAAATGGAAACTCCGGGGCGGAACGGAGTTCCGGTAGATACCTCTCTTTAGGAAAGATAAAAATATTGTCATAAATAGGTAGGTAGGGTACTAATCACATTAAATAGCCTAGGTTACAGTTCCGGCACCTCATTTTTTTAAAATCAAGTAGCCTACTGGCTATTAGAGGTGAAAAACGTTATTTTAAACGGATATTTTAGGTTACCGGTAGCCTATTCATTCTGTGTCAAGATTGGGAAAGGTTGAGGCTTAAGCTAGTGGACTTTCTTTGAGTAATTTTTTTATGGAACAGCAAACCCTGGTCTGGTTTGTGGCTCTTTCCTAAATGCACCCCTAAAGCGTTTCTGTTTAAAAGTACATAGTGATCGATATAGGCCTTATAATGAAATTGATGGTCTGTAGAAAGTGTCTTTAACTAAGCCATTGAAGCTTTATAGCTGTTGATGACCCACTTGCATATGTAAGTTCTTACAATGTCAAATCTTTTAAATCTAATAGGAATCGCTTTGGTTACAGAGAACCAATTGCTGCAGTGTTCATCAAAGAAGAAGAAGGCAATTATGAATTCAGCATTGATGAGTAAGTTAAGCCACAGTAAATCAAACAAAAAACAAGTTTGACATACAACATGCTGTAACGAATAGGAGAATTTTGAAAACATGGATATTATACTTGCATAACATTTTTAAGATTTAAAGAAAACAGTTACAAGAAAATAGGTACAAATTATATACGGTACCAATATATTTTTAAAATTGAATCCCCAGGTTTGAGTGGGGACTTATTGCCGCTACTAACCAAGAAGGGTTAAAAGCATGTACACTGTATAAGTGAAATAGGCTAAAGTAATTAACTGGAAAAATTACTCTTAAGTAAAATTAAAACATTTTGGCAAAATCATCACACCCAAACGTAATAGCCATAAAAAAAGGTAAAAATATATTTAATCCTTGTACTGTCTTCGCAATCAGAGGTCATATTGTACTACCGCTGTTTCGTAAATTACTCCATCGTCAGGTGCAAAGTAGTACACCTAACTAGTTAGTTTTGCTCTTACACTTAACACAAAATGTCTTCATTTGCAGTGCCTCAGAGGTTGAATAAAAATTTGACCATATGTAGAATAGGATGGATACTTGATAACACATGAAAACATAATAGACATTTTGAGTGAAAATTTTGGGACATTCTTTTAATGTCCCTGGCCTTTTATTTCGTAGATGCTGTATGTGTAGTATATTACTATGTATTTTAATATTTTTTGGGGCTGGGGCAACATGTTAGGCCTTCAAACACTTATTTGGTCTTAAATAGGTTCTAGGTATTTTTTTGTATTTTTTAAGTTTCAAAATTCTTGACCATCACGTGTCCCCAGGGTAAGTTTTTCAACTTTCGCGCTGTTGCTTTTTTTAGACTAATTATTCATGCCGAAATACATAACATGCCATAATTTTATGTCATCAATAGTTATTAGGCCTAAACATAAATACCCCCGCCGCAGCAAACCTGCAGACTAAGCGAATTTCCATTTGCCTGATTGGATTTACACTAAAATGTCTCCTTAAAAATATCACATTTATTCCCTATTTAAATCAAATCAGTTTAACACATACTTAGGTTTGCTGCAACAGGGAGGGTTAAAGTGTTTTTTTATGTAAAATGTTAATAGTTAGTAAGAAATAAAAACATTTTCCAAATTTGGGCAAAATATGTTAATAAATAAGCAAACTACAACAGTTTACTTATCCTCCATAAGAATAACATGGGAATTTTAAATTTACAATTTTTTTGAATTTTCTCCGTAACCATTAGGCGCATTATAACGCTTCAATATACTAAATTATTTGTTTTTTTAAGCTCTACAAAATGGTTTGGAAAGAAATTGCAAAAATTTAAGTTTTTTGGGTCAAAAATGGGAAAAACCCATTTTTACCCCATAAAAGCCCCCATAAACCCCCGTTCCCATGGTCCGATCATGCTGGTTCGCGAACTCGTTCGAATAAACGTAGGTTTACACATTTGTACCAAATTTCATTGAAATCGGATTATTTTTGCTCGAGTTATCGCGCTAACGGACACATATATAAATATATATATATATATATATATATATATATATATATATATATATATATAAATATATATATATATATATATATGAATTTGAACGGATGCTATTTTTGGCCTCTAGGGACCTCAAAACGAAGAAAAAAATCGGTCCCGGGTCGAGGTCTTACCATGAGTACTACGGTAATAGCTTATTCCCTATATGGGAAATTCGCTAAAAAGGAGCATATTATAATATTTTTTTTGTTTTCATTGCTAACTGACTGCCATGACAAAATAAGTCAGTCCCAACCATAATGGCAAAATTTGCAACTTTAGAACATGACAGTGGTAAGCCTGGCGGCAATTGCGTCAGTTGGTTTTATAGACTGGTTCAGGATGGGCGTTAGGTTTGTTGTGCCAGTGGTTTTGTAGTAATAAAAGGAAGTACAAGATTAATAAAGGTAAGTTTGTGCTCTTTGTAATTTTGGTGTGTCCACGACCGTACGTTGTAACTTTATATGGTGTTAATTTTTTATGATGATATTTTAATTGCTACGTTAACCTAAAAATCCACTTTGCCTCCTAAAACATGAGGTGTAGGGCTGCCACCAGAACTGAGCCAAATAATAAGTGATTTAACGACCGGGGTATCAAGATCATCACAGGTTTTTTTTCACAACCAAAATAGCCTTATCAATTGTACTTTGTTATGGCCAGGAAAATAAATTTAAATATCATTGTAAATTGCACAGTTTAGTTAAATTGCAACACACATTTTTCTTATTACAGTACAATAATTGAAGGATTGTTTAGAATTATTTAGATATCTTTATTTTGTCTTTATTTTGTTCATTTTAGGATGGATGAAGAGGAAGAGGCTGAGTTTAGGAATGGGTTACTGATGATGAAAGAAGAGGGTTTGAAAAGATCCACTCAGAGGGAAAAAGAGTGGAACTTTGAGAAAGCACGGATTAGAAAAAAAGAAAAGCAATTAGAACTAGAACTAGAAAGAAAAATTAAAGAAATCGAAAATGAAAAGAAAAAGATTGAAGCCGAAAGAAAAAAACTTCAAGAAGGATTCCGAAAACTAAAAGAAGAAAGAGAATTGTTTGAAAAACAGAAAATAACATCTCCAGCCAGGAATGACAATCCATGTACTGTTTGTATTGCAAAGAACAAAACAAGTCAAGAAGATGGTGTAAAACAATTAGCCATGAAAAAGAAAAAACGACCAGCGTTAAACTTCAAACAAAAAGGAGAAGAACGAAGGAAAAGTTGTGAAAGAGCGAAAGCGTATAGAGAGCGAATAAAAAATAATCCTGAACTACATTTACAACAGCGATTACTAGAGAGAGATAGGAGTAGGAGACGAAGACAGGAGGGCAAAATAAAAAAAATATCTGAAATGACGAAGAAAGAAAGGGAAGCTCAACGAGAGCAGTGGAGGAAAAGAAAGCAAAGACAGAGAGAGAGGAGTATTGAATGAGGAAGATTTATTGTATTTCAATGACAATGACAATGACACACCGCCACAGTTTCCTCAACCTGGACCAACGAACGATGCTGTAGTCGTCCCAAAGTCAGATGAAGGGAGAGGTAAAAAAACACTATGAAGAAACCGAAGGAAGGAAAATGCACTTATCAAGAGCTTAGAAAAAGAAATACCCCCGCCACAGCAAACCTGCAGACTAAGCAAATTTACATTTACCAGTTTTGGATTTGAAATTAAATCTATTTAAATAACATAGCTAAATGTTTACCAAGTAGGTACCTAGGTTTGCTGCTAAAGGGAGAGTAATAAAGTGTGTTTTTTTTTTGTAAAATATGAATAGCTTATAAAATAAATAACTTTGCCAAGTTTGATCAAAATATATCCATAAACAAGCAAAGTACAACAGTTTACTTATTCTTTATAAGAAACCTGGCCAGTTTCTTTATTATATACTAAGCTATTATTCTATATCCATTGCGAGTCCCATGCCTCACTTTAAGTTTAAGTTTCCTAAAATGATTCACTCGCTTAGCTTACTCAAGAGGTGTTAGGTTAATGAGACATAAGACTGCTTAAGGGTGTTACTCAACGTGTAATGAACAAAAACATAAATTTAGAAAAACAACAAAAGTAACAAAGTGTTACAACAGCAAAAGAAAACTTAGAAAAGGCAAAAATCAACAATAATAAGAAAAATAAATTTACAACGTTGAATTTACAAGAAAAGAAATTCAATTGAAAATTTAAAAGAATTAGTTACTGACAAATTACATGACTTGTATGTTTGACAAAACTTAAGTTACATATTTTATTCTTTTTACATACTGTTAATTGTCCCAGAAGCACACACACCGATACACGCACTCCCAAACTCCCGATCTTCTTTCTCCGGTGGCCCGTGGTGATCTCCTCGATGTTTTCCTTCAGATCCTCCAGCTCCAAGAGTCTTGACCCCGCCATCTTCTTCATTAGCCCTTCTCATTGGCTGATTACCGATAGGGTGTGTGGCTTATAGGTTAACGGTGTTTCTTGGAAGTCAGCCCTACCGGTCATCGCCTAGCTCACATCAGCTGGGAAAGGAATTTGTAAATCGATGCTAATGCTACTGTTCAACTCTGTTCACACCAACTGGTCGACTAAGTGTAATGTGAACAGAGTGTCTGCATAGATGAGCACCGTGGGTACGGGGTTAATCCCCTTTCTTACACCCCCCTGGTTAAAACGTCAACCTACCACCGGTTGACAATAAAAAAGAAAAAAAAACAACTTAAGGAGATACGCGGAAACATCAATCGCGAAGGTGGGAATCGAACGGATATCTTGATGTGCGTTCCGACTCTTCTTCCCCCCTTCCTGCGACGCGACGCGATCTTGAGGATCGGCGCATTTTCTTGTTTCGCGACCCTTCCAGCGACGCGGTAGAATGAGCTGGTGGTGTATAGCTCATAGTCGCTCACGTCTTCTTTCGCCCCATCGAGTCTCCTTAAGTTAATTGATTGTTTCATTAATTTTGAACTATTTAAATATTAGCTGTTTGTTAAGATGTTTTATTTTTTAAATTATTATTATAAATTATTTTTTGATGTTGAGATTATTAATGGTTTATTCTGGGTAACACTTTGTTATATTAATAGTCTTTTTGAGGGGTTTGAGGTTTTGTGATTAGATTTATTTTAATATTGAGTATATGAATGAAATATGCTGAAATAATGAGTAAGATTGTTAATATTATTATCCAGACTAATAAAATGCTTGATGAGATTTTGGGATCGATTGGGTTATTTTAGTGGCGCAACAGAATGATATGGAGTTACGATTGACGAGACCTCGTTAAATGTTACGCCGGTCACGATATGCGTTGGAATTTCCGCGCCAGCTGATAGAGTAGGTTGCCATATGAGAAGGATAGCGGCGAGCACAGCTGGGACGGTGAAATGGGCAGCATCACGGCGTCAGGGTTGAATGGACGGCGAGTGCTGACTATGCGATGACGATGAAGTCATGTCGTGTTGCGGTGACCTTGTACTTGGTGTTGGCT